CATAAATAGCTTTTCATACAGAAGCATTTCAACAGACCTTGATCAAGCTAGTGTAATAGTTTCAGCCCATGCTCTTTTTAGTAAGGCTCTTATGCTCTTGTTCCTTTAACTCCACGCATAAGCCAGGGCTTCTTACAGGATCCTGCTAGTAAAAGAAGTGACAGCATAATGAGGTGGTTCAGTCTTGATTTACGTGCAGTATATGTTAATTTACAGAGAAGCTCTTTCACTACTCAGAGGCAGTATTAGTCATGTGGCTGAAAACTAGGCTGCCTGGCTTTAGCCACAGTCAGAAACGTGAAAGGAATTGCAGGCAAAGCTACTTTTGATGAAAGGAATAGAGTGGGCTCGTGAACAGAGGACTTTCTGCCTGTCACTGTAAGCTAAACTGTAAGGACTTGCTGTGTACGTGACAGCAGCGAAGCCGAGGCTCCTGCCTGCGTAACCGCTAGGTGTCACTCCTGATTTACCGGAGTGCTGGGGAAGGGGATGATGCCCGCATGCCCTGGTGTTGCTGGCATCCGGCATGGTAACTAGTTGTATTCAGAGCAACCAAATGAATGGAGAGTCCAGCGCTGAGTGGTTATTTCCCTCCAGTGCTGAATGTTTCTGTCTTTGTCCTTAAGCACTAGTCAAGACACTGAAATTCGGAGGAGAACTGTTGGTGAAAACCCGCGTCTCTCACCCCGCAAAGAAGAGTCAAAGAAGTCGGAGAGCTCAGAAGAGGATGATGAGAACATGATGACAACCTGGAAGCCATTTCTAGTGAATATATGCATGTTCACCTTCCTGACGGCAGGAGCTTACCTCTGTTACAGGGTGTGTTTTCATTGATGGACGTGCCAGCAAGAGAGACCCTACAGAAAACACCACCAATTCCATGGGTTTGTAATCAGCTCCTCTGAAGGAAAGCGAATGGAGGCACCTGAGCCTCGTCTCAGTGGAGGTAGATCTTAGCTTGAAAGGCCGGAACTTTGGTTAGGGCTTAAAGAGAGAATTGATGCACTAGGGTTTTATCTAGCCCTGTGGTCCCAAGAACATAATATTCTAATCTCAGGGCCTTAAAATATTCAGGAGTAAGCAGAGAAAATGCCAAATAGTCTGTTTTCCTTTTCTTCCTTTTTTTCCTCTACTTCTTTCTTTTTTTTAGACTCAATAGTAGAACTACAACACATTGTTGTTTTTAGCCTTTTTTAAAAAGCCAGTTCTTGTTCTTTTTCTTTTGTTTCAGAAAAACTAGGCACAAGTGAAACTTGCTTGTACTCTCCAAGTGTTGTAACCAAATACATGACTTATATTGACGAGTTCCCAAAAACAGAAAAAGAACCCCACATACCTGAAGAATGTACCTTTTTGGAAGGGGAGGGCACTGGGGACGGGTGTTGTGGTTGGGGTTTTTGGTTTAGGGTTTTTTTTAACTTGCTTCATCATTGCAGACTGAGTTGTGGGCAGTGCCTGTGGTATTGATATATTTAATCCTGGCATAACTGTTCTTAAAGAGCTTATTGTTTTACATGTGTTTATAGAAACAGGCTTCTGCATTTGCTCAGGGTATCCCAACATGTCAAGCTCTTTTTTTTTTTCCTTCTTTTCCTTTAATAACTGTATCCCCCTCATTGACTTTTGTTGCACTCTACTTGCACATGCGCCTATTTACATTGCACCATCCTCTGTAAAGCTGGTTTTACTTTTACATTCTGGGTTAGGAGAGGTTGAGGGGAGGGAGAGAAACAGGAAGGGAAATTCAACCAAAACGTGTCCACCAGCATCGTGCAGCTGGCATTCAGATGGACCAGTGCTTAAACCTCATCATTTGGAATGTAAAATGCAGTTTCACTCTGCTCCGTAGGAATAGCTTACTGTGAGGGCCGGGGAGGTGACGTGCTCGGAGCCACCACAGGTGATGAGCAGGAAAGCATTGCGTAAATCCAGAGCAATTAATGCTGTAGCAGCTTCCTTAAGACATAGGAAGCTCAACAGAAGCCATGTTGGTCTGTGGATGTATGGGTTGGCTCATGATGCAAACATTTGTGTGCTGCTTTGTTCAAAGCAAAGATTTAATGTACTGGCTTTAGTTCGGTTGAAGATTCACTCTTCAGCATCACGGGGCAGATGGTGCAAGGGGCAGCCCTGCACCTCTGCAGCAGGGGATGGGGATGCTGCCCCTGCGCCGCGCCCGGGACTCAAATCATGTAGAGTGCTTGTAAATAAGGATTTGGGTGCATTGGTAGAACTGTGACTGGAAGTCAGCATTGCACTAACACTTAGTCAGTGCTGTTCCTCGCGTGTTACCAAATTATCAATGGAATAATAGCAAAGGTGTCTTTGCTCGCGTCATGGCGCAGAGGAGTAAACTCACTACCGGCGGCTGTAGTGATTGAAACCATGACAGCTGATTCACAACAGTGTTACTAATCAGTTCTTCTTATTTTTAAAGTCTCTCTAGAGTGATAGCACTTAACCACCATTCTCAGTGCAAGCATCGCTATGGAGTACCTTACGTAAGTCTCTCCACTCCATATTTATTTGTGCAAAGCTGTCTGGGTGTAGCTCTTCCTTCAGTGAATAAGTTGGTGAATGGGGGGGGTTGGGGGTGGGAGTTATTTCTATTTTGTGTTTTGTTAAGCTTGCATCAAGGGCTTTTCAAAAGTACAATAATAAATCCTCAGGTAGTACTGGGAGTCAATACTTTACCTGTGAGACTGTTGGTCAGACCAGTACTTGAAAGGAGGAATGTTGTAATCAGTCAATATTTAGTTATATTATTGGAAACATGAAAAATGAGTATAGAAAAATGGTAATATATAATGGCTCATCTGTGTATTTAAGATACATTATGTGATTGCTTTGTCCCCACTATTCTCTCCCATCATCTGGTAGAATATTGTTCTAAGGCAACATTTGTACCCCATTTGTATTAAAATGCATGTAAAGTCTTCTAGTGTCCTGATTAAATACCACGTGCTTGAAAGGTGAAAGAACTTATATTTCTGCTTCCTGATGTGCCCAGAAATTATATTTGCATGACCTGATCATTAAGTGGTTGTGGTTCCAAGGGTGTTGCTGAAAGTCCCTTCGTTCAGCGCTAGACTGGTTTGGTGTTTATCGGATAACATGTACTCGCCCAATCCTTGGCATGACTTCCTACTGAATTCCTGCGTACTCAGTGTAACCCGGTTGTTCGGCATGGTTCATTTCAGCTGAGTAAGTATAGTACAGACATTCCAGAGAGTTTAGTAAGCCCTACCCACACCTCACCCAGGGCACTGGGGGCAGGCAACAGCACAGTGAGTTCACGGGCTCACTGGCTGTGCTGCCACTGGAAGAGGAGGAGATGGAAACCTCTTGTGTCAGAGCTCAGTGGCAGCCTGCTGTGACCTGCAGAGATGCAGCTCCTGCAGCAGTGGCCCCTTTGAAAAGGAAGACCTGGCACTGAAAGAACTGTCCTGTTCCCAGGAGGGAACATGCAATGTTAGGCCTGACAGGAAACCAGAGCATCCTTCCTTTGGGTGCAGAACCATTCACTTGGAAATCACTCTCACAAGAGAAAGCTTCTGCAGCTGCTAAGAAAAGAGTTCTGACCATCCCTCTTCCTGGCGTTTGCCATTTCTCCCTCTGTTCCAAACATCCCCTGTCCTAGGATAGGCTGTGGAACATCCCCCCAGCCTGGTGAGCTGTGTGTAAGGTTTATCCTACTGAACTGTATGCATTTTTGTTTCGATGTCCTGTATATGTATGTAGTAGTTTGGGTGTGTATATACAGTAGCGTTTCAAAGTGGGTGTATTGGTTAACCTGTTCTTGGAAAATGGACAAACATCCATGTTAAACTTGTTAGAAAGTTAGTGAGCTGCTCTGCTATATGCCTTAAGCAAATATTTACTCATCAGGTCTTTCTTTTTTACAGATTGCCATAGAATAAACTTTTGTAAAAAAAAAAAAAAAGAAAAGAAAACCCCAAAAAAGCTCAGTGTTTTGGTACAACAGTTGCAGGTCTCTGGGTAACCTGTACAGTTTTTCAATGATTTCCCATACGAGTTTTCAGTTCTCATTTTAGTTGTAACAATAAAACTCTTTTTTTAAAGAAGGTCCGTGCAAGTGGTGTTGCTTCCCCTCCTCCTGGGGTGAGGGCTGGCAAGGAACGGGATTTAAATGTTACTGGAAGAACTTACATGTAGGTCAGAGCTCCAGTGAGAGAGAGAGGTAAGTGAAGCAAGTGCCATGTCAGGGAGAGGATATCTGTCTCCCTGCTCTAGTCTTTCACTTTAAACAGTTAAATTTTAACCACTTTGGCCCAGGCAATCAGTGTGATAACGCAAGTGTAGTAACGCTCAAGGACAGGGTTTTCAAAGAGTTCCAGTTGTGCTGGAACTGGCTGCTGCAGTTGGCAGGCACTGGGTGGTGGACCCGTATGTCCCTAACCTGCAACTCTCACACTGCCGTGGTGGTTGGCTTATTTACCTGTTGGTTTGTATCTTTAAGGGAGGCTACAACTGGAGAAGAGGTGCTTGGAATGAGAACTGCCAAAAGTTGCGTGGAGTGGTGTTATATACAGGAGCTTTGTGCAGGCAGAAAGGTGACTGTGCTGCCCTGTCCCTTTGTAGGGACAGGGCACTGTGAGGGGGACAGGCCTGGGGCAGTGAAGAGCTTCCCAAAGTTAGAACTTCTTTTCCCTGCTTTTAGAGAAATCGGTACATTAAAAGCAAGCATCACAGCACAGGTAAGCAGCCTGGGAGGTTTTGCTCTGCTATGGTGCAGCATGACCCAAGCACTACACCCTGCTAGCCAGCCCTCCTCAGTACAGCCTCCAGCTGTGTGAGCAAGCTGCACATCTCCAAACTCAACCCCGGCAGCAGCACAGCAGCACAGCCTGTGTGAACCTGTGACAGACCGACCGCAGGAGTGGTGTGTGACACCCTGACTAGAGGTAAGATCCTCCCTTCCAGTTGGGGGTTACTGCCCTGTCTGCCTGTGCCCAGCACTGTGGAGCACTCACAGGACCTTGTCTCAAATGCTTTATTAGAACTGTAGAAAACAGGATGAAATCCAACAAATAAATACTGAATAGAAAAAGTTATGTATAAAAATATATACACACAAAAGCCAAACCCTGTCAAGTATTTTACCTGAAGCCAGGCTTCTTAGTGAGCTCACTGGAGGGTAGCCAATGCTGAGTAAGGAGCCTGACAATGCTGTATAATTATGAGAAGTTTTGACCTATGGCTAAATGAATACATTTTAAAACCAACAACAACAAACCAACTTCTCCAGCGCTGTCCATGTCTCTCAGACCTGCACAAGCCAGGTACAGTAACTGCTGAGGATCCATGTGTCAGTCCTTGCTTAGTCCCCTGTCCTAAACTGCAATGATGATGAAATTGGCTGTTAAAGTTTTCCTTATGCAACTGAACTGTACAAGGGAAGGAAACACCAAGCAATACCACCGGATAGTCTTTGATGGATGTGGCAGTTGCTGTAAATGACCTGGTGTCTGCTGGTTTCTAGATGGACTGCTGTTTCTCTCTTCTATAAGGAATAAATAGAAGACTTCACGGAAAAATAGCTCTTGAGCAGGGGCAGCTGATTCCAGTAAGGTGGGGAGTTTAACTCAACCTGGTTCCATATTCTAAGAGATCCCAGTTTTCATTTGTCCAGCACTTGGTATTTCATCATGTGCTGAGACAGTAAAGAAGTATTCCCCCCTGCTTCCTGCAGACTGCAAACGGCCCCTTTGGGAATAGATCTGTGCTTACTTAAGCAGGGCATAAGTAAACAAGGTATTGATGAACACCACAACCAGCTCCTCAGGTACCCATGTGTGGCTGTGGGAACACCATGATGTGGCTCCTCGTCTCTGCTGCTAAAACACTGTGATTTCGATTTCAGCCTCTTGCTGTACGGTGTCTCTGAGTTCACAGCAGATCCTGTCCATCTTCTCAAAGGCTTGCCGGCCCTGTTCACCTGTGGGGAAGGAGAAGACAGCCCACACTGAGGACAAGAAAGCAGCCAGAAACACTAAAACCCAGGATTCTCTGGAAATGCTGCTGTTGTGACCTTGTTCAGAACAACAAGACCTCTCAGTAGTGACAAACACATTTCTAAGGGAATAGTTTCCCCAAAACTACTCAAAGCCACCATGGAAAAAATCAGGCCTTCTGTAAACATTTCCACATGAGTAACAACTTGGAACATCACAGCTGGAAAACTTGTGTAATGCACGTGAATCTGAGTGTTTCCGAGAAGCAAGTCTGGAGATCCCCAGAACTTAAGTGTGAACTGAAGTGGCTTTGGGAAGAGGAGAAGAGGGAATCTGCTATCTCCTGAATAAACTGGACACCCTCCCCAGCACTCTGCTCAGCAGAGGCAGCCTGCGCAGCTCTCTGCCCTCAGCAGAAGCACAAGTACCAATAGCAGCACACAGGGAACACCCGTGTTTCATCACTGAAGGTCCCCTCCACTGCAGGTCTGCTGAGTCCAGGTGAATTAACAGGACATGGGCCAGTGTAAAACCACTTTGTTTGCACTCTACCCCTCCAGTATTCAGAGTGGAACCATTTGCAGAAGAGTAGGAATATCAGATGAGAAGTAAGAGTCAGTTTGTAGGTGGCTAAACAAGATTACCAGACCCAAAGAGGTCTGTTGTTCTTTTGTTATATTTAAGAGACCTTTCAGTTATCCTCACTAATCTCAGAGCTGGAAGAGGCTTTATTGTGACCTGCCAGGTTCTGATGTCCTTGTTACGACATCTAGGAGAATGTTGCTGATGCCAGGACTACTGTTAGGCAGCACCATCAGTACTACTTGCCACCTTCTTAAAAGGAAGGTTAGTGGCTCTTAAAGCACTTTATCCTACAGTGATGGCCTTGGTCCTGTTCTGCAGACTCTAACAGATCCTGTGGTTATTACATGTGGTACGAAGTTTATCTCTGTGTTTATGAAGTAGCTGCTGATAAAAGTTCCATTGTCCCAGATGTGTTCAGGCCTGTTCTGGTTCTGCACTATTTCATGTTACAGACTTACCAAAGGACAGTGTTGTTTCTCTGGCTGCATTCCTCACTTCCTCTGCTTCAGACTGGCACAGCTGGGCAACCTGCTCGATGCTCTCAACACCCTGTGTGAGAACAGAACAGTTTGCAAGAGTGGCTCTTCAGCAAGCAAGCTAAACACATCCAATACTGACTCCCACCTCTTCTTGCATCCGAGTTCTACTGTCGCCTTCCTTCCCTCCCCACTCACCCCCAGACAGATCAGTTCTGATCAGGCTTGGTAATTTAAGAAGGAATGATACTTCCTATCCTGTTTTAGGGCACAGAAAAAGAAAGTTCCCAGGTACAGGTCATTGCTGCAGCACCATTAAATCAGCACAAACCAGTCAGGACCTTCTCTGAAAGGGCAGCGGCAGGTTGTGCAAGGGCAGCGGTTTCTTTGCAAAGCCGATTTTGAGGACAAGACTCTGATTTTAAAGGTGTTTTTCCACCGTAGCTGATGCTATGATTTGTTGGGCCTGTCTTGTGACTTGTTTGTAGAAACTGTGCTCACAGTAATGCCTTGTATGCAAACTCACTACCAAACTGGTGGCTGGAAAGCTTTACATCTGTTCTGGCAGCTTCTTACAGCAGTGATGCAAATGTTACTGTTATTTCCTGGCTATAATCAGCTAGTGTTGAATATGAGATTAACTGATTTAACTTTCAATTTCTACAGTTAAAGCTTCAGAACCAGCTCCACGTACAGCTCACTGGGGCTAATTTTTCTGCCTGCAAGATGTCCCCCAGTCAGACAGTGGCTGTTGTCCTTCAACAACAATGCTGTAGAAAGTAAACCACTCTTTCTACCACTGTAGTGTACCTCTCATATCAAACTGAAACACTCCCAGATCCCTGCAGCTCCCTGTGCTGCTGCCTTTTGAATAGCAGCATAAATAGTTTGTAACTTTGGCAATCAAAAAGTTCATTAACTCACAAGACAAGGAAGCTGAAAAAGCAACCCTACTTGGCTTAAAACTAAAGCCAGACGCACTTCTGCATGTGGCAGTTTGGGTCATATACTTACTCTGAGGTTTTTAAGAGCCAGACAAGCAGCTTGCTGAAGTCTTGTGTCAGAGTCAGCTAAAGCATCGGTGTAAAACAAGAGAGCCTGAATTGAAAAGAAAAAATGGTTTTATAAACTACAGCATCATTGCACACTGAAATTCAACCTGACCTAAGTAAGCACTGTTGGTGTTACCAAGCTGAAACTGAGTAACGGACATGGACAAGGCATTTGAGTACTGATGTAGTTTAGGTTCTAGTTAGGAGGTCAGAGCAGGCAGCAGCACTGTTCCAGGACACCAGATCCATGTATTTCAGCATCCATTCAGACAAGCCGGGAAGATTTCAGCCTTCACCTTTTCCCTGCAGTTCCGGCTCGCCGCCGCACGGCACAGACAGGCCGTGGCCGCTTTGCTGACGCGGTGGTTGTCATCCAGCTGCAGAAGCCCCAGGAGCCGCAACGTCTGCGGCAGCGGCTGGAGCCGGTTCAGCCGCTTTCCTTTCAGCTTCTTAAGAGTCTTCAGCCGTCCAGGGCACTGCAGCTCCTCGATCAACATCACTGCAAGAGAAAGGGCAGCGTCACTGACAGCTGAAGGCAGTACCAAGAGAAGGCAAACCCCTCTAATTCTCTGTCCTTTCGCCACCAGCAGTTGTTCACAAGCGTAAGACACAAGCCAAGTGTGGCAGGAAGCAAATCAGGACAACTGGCCCTTTGGCCATCCTGTCTTCTCTCCCTGGCATTGTTTCATTTCCTCCTATGCCAAGACCATCTGATGAATGGAGCAGAGATTATTTCACACTATTAGTTCATGGAGTGCAGTGAAGCCCTGGGTACATCAAGTACAACATGCGGTGCTAAAGAACTGCACCTACTCCTACGCCTTTGGGTGTTAGGACAAGCAGACCAGTCTACAGTAAGGAAAACACCATTAAGCAAAATGCTTTAACCATCCCTGGCAGATCTTGCTGTACTGGTCAAAGAGAAAAGCCTCTGTCTCTTAAAAAACAATGAGCTCAGGCACTGGATTTGCAGTTCCAGTTTGAAGAATATCCCAGGACTTCCTCCCTGGCCAGCACCACGCAGACCTCAGGCACGCCGCAGATGACTCATCTGCATCAAAACAAGACTAAAGATGCAGCCAATATCAGGACTATTTTTAAAGTAATTCTTCTCTGACACGGACCGAGCTGTAAGTGCTGTCACGTGCTGGACTCGTGCTACATGTGTAACCGCAGCTGTAACCAGACATAGGTAATAGCAAACAACAGTCACACAGAGCTGCAGACATTTACGCAGCCCCTGGAGCCAGCCCTAGATTGCTGCCAGCTGTTTCTGCTTGAACTTCAGACTATTACAGACCCACTCTTTAGGACACTTAAGAAACCTATCTTCCCACCTCTGCTTTGTTTTTACCTCGTTATGTATGGGAGCCAGGCTTGTCTTTCCTGTTCTAATTAAAGTTACCTGGTCAGAAGGGGAATTAAAATGGAAACAAATTGTCAATGCAGTGGTTGGGCTGCTTTCTGCTCTGACAGTGCATCCTGAGTAGTAACCGGGAGAGCAGCAGCCAGCTGCTGGGCTTGTCAGTTCAAGGGAGGGAGCCAAGCACTGCCCTTACCTTCTTTAGCAAGTTTTCCCAAGTGTTTCTCCAGGCTGGTGATGTGGTGCTTCTCCAGGTAGCTGTAAAATTGGAATGAAGTCACCAGTTCTGGTTGGAGGGGCAGGCAGGGGAGCAGCCCATCACAGGTGACAATCTGCTCCAGCAACCTCTGCAGCACTGGAAGCAGCATGGGAAAGAACAAAGGAGAAGAAGAAAGGTTGGTTTAATGTAAACTGCTTCAAAGAGTCAGAGTTGTAGTTTAAAGTGGATAAAGACAATGTCCAGCCATGCAACAAAAAGAAACCTGAGTGGCAGCTCAGTACCTGCTTCTAACTGACGGGGGTATTTCTCCTTCACTTTGAGCATCAGGGTGTATTTTAGTGCGTGACGGAATCTTTCTGCTGAAGCAAACAAGATGCTGCTGGGCTCTGCAAGGTCACTCCAGATCTTCAGGTACTGCTTCTTCTTTTTAGTCTTCTGAATAACTGAAAAATCCCATTTTAAAGACAGTGAGCTCTAGCAGATTTTGGATTTCACATGAGAAAAGAGGCACCAGATGGCATATGTCGAGATGTGTCAGCACTGACTTGTGTTTGTGTTCTGTAGATGGCTTTGTTCAAAGCCGGAGATTTGCTGCCAGTATTTTAACATCTGCAAGCACCGATTTCACCAGGCTTGGGCTGAGCTCCTAAGATGTCATTACAAGACCTGAATGAGACACATTGCAGCTCCTCTGCCTTGTGTTCATTCATTTTATCCAAGTCAAGTTTCAGAACCACTTTGTGAGTTGAACTGTTTCCATCTCTATCAACCAGAGCTGTGCCATATCCAAGCACTTTAGAGATCCTGTCTTATGTACCTTCACAAGGGGAGAACTCTGAACCTCAGTGCAGAGGCTGAGGCAGGCTTTCCTTCAAAGGAAGAAGAGCACTTGAAGAAGAGCACTTCAAGCAATACCTTGTGGCTCCTTGCTATTATTTAAACCCTTTCCCACTCTTACCTTTGTGTTCTGCATTTAAAACTCCTACACTCTCCTCATCATGCTGTACCACAGGCCTTTCAGAGCTTTGCTCCAGGGAAGGGTTTATTCTCACATCCTTCAGCGTAAAATGTGTCAGCAAATGCTTCCAATTAAAACCTGTATTCCTGCCACTCTATTTACCAAGATGAGACCAAAAGTCTTCAGTCTCCCACTGGGCTGTTATCATTTTGTCACCTTCAGCAGTCAGTGGAAGTGATTGAGTAGTGGGAAGGCCCAAGATGGGAAAAACTGCACACCAAACTTTCCTTGCACATTTGGGCTGTTTGCTTTTATGCAGTAAGCAGAGCCATAAAAGAGGATTTTATTAAGGCTGTTACAATGTTCTTTGACTGCAAACTCCATCATCCATAACATCCCTGTTTTTAAGACAAACCAGTTCAGCTACTAGGTCTGAGACAAAGTTCCTGAAATCCTTTCCTTCCTTGCAGAGGAAAAACAAGCAAACAAGTAGCCCTGTTTTCCCTGAGAATCCAAGCTTAAGAGCTGGTTTAATTATGTGAATGTGTAAGACATTCAAGATGAAACCTGATGTGTCTGGAGAAGCTTGAGCAGAGTCACCTGCCCCTCTCACACCTCAGGCATGACTTGGAACAATGCAGTTACTCACTTTCTTCAACAGACATATCCAAGACATCACCAAGGACCCGTGTCTGCTCCGACACTTCTTCCAGGATGCTCTTCTGGACAACCTGGGCTACAGTGGGTGAGCTCAGTTTCTGAAACACAACATGCTTATCTTAGCAGCTGGAACAAAGGCAGCATCGAGCACAAGATGAATGAGGGTTTGTTCTTGGAATCAATCTCTTGTAATCTATGAGAAAACACACAGCTGCTCTCAAAAGGCCTCTTTGCCCATCATGGGATGGATGAGTCCTGAGTGCAGAGCTGCTCAGCAGAACAGGATGAGTGAATCACAGTGTGCTGGCACAGGCTGGCTGGCACTTGATCCTCCTCCACCCTGTCCATTGACAACTGCACAGCAGATCAATACTAATTGTTACACTGTCCTCTGCTGCCCATCCTCATCAGAGGTAATACTTTGAGGACGATAATGTGCTTGAGCACTGTAACTGAAATTAATTGAGGAATGAGGTCTCAAGGGGAGGCAGGAGTTCTTTCTTGCCTACATGCTGCCAGTTTCATTCTAGAAGTAGCAGTTTTCATCCATTAAGAAATTGATCCCCTGTTATCAGTACACAATTCAACTCAAATCTGCCCTACTGCATTAGCAGCCTGCTTGGGACACAAAAGTAATTACCTAGAGCTTCAGCAAAACCCAGAGGCTGAAATAAAGCAGCAGTTTTGTTCTGGATTCAATTTCTGGACTCAATTTCTATTCTCAGCCTCGTCTTAAAAAGGAGCCAGCTACGTATTCATTTTTGTAACTGGAATCAAAACCACAGGCTCTTCCTTACCTGCAAAAGGCCTTTGCACAGCTTCAGATGAGTTACCAATAGCGTGTCTAAGTTGTCATCACCTGTAGTTACATCTCTTGTTTCTGTTCTCATGTCACAGCTCAGGGACTGCAGTGTGTTGTCATTGTATGTGCTGTTGAGGAAAGAAAAGAGAAGAGAGAGTTAAGACTCTTATAGCTAAATAAGCTAAAGGTGCACAGTCTCAGTAGCAGCCTGCAAGCAAGCTGCAGAAGTACAAACCCTGTGGCATTTAACAGATCTCAGACTTTTTTTTATTGCACTGATAACACTTCTTAAAAATATGAGGACTTTAACTTTTTTCCAGTGCAGTAATGCTGGATCAGTTGATCCCACAAAATCCCATTCTGGAGAACCAATACTGGTAAAAGATGTTTCCAGATAGCATGAACTGAGTTGCTGGCTCATCTGCAGCAGGTGAGGTGCAGAAGCAGCACACAGACAAATCCTGTGGTGCCTCCCAACTCGCTGATATTGAGAATGTAATAAGTCTCCCAGGATCAGGCTCATAGCTCTGGAATGTTCGGTTTCAGTGCACAACCTGCAAAACTGAATTCAAATGAAGCAACAAGTAGAAGAGCTCTGTAAGTTACTCAGATAGGGTAGCGCTGTCTAGTATCATCCTGATCAGCCTGTTTGCTGCAGTCTGTTTCTAGCAGGTCTACACATTAGGCACTTCCATCACGCTCTGTGGGCTAATCTGAATCTTGGAGTATTCACAGCAATTGGTTTCTGCCCAGAGCTGCAGCTCTGCACAGCTGTTACACAACTGTGCAAGGCAAGCACAGTGTATTAGGAGGCATTCCCAGGATCAGCCCTCCTTACCTCCCATAAGGAAGTGCTGCAGACGCATACCTGATACTGGCTGTCCGTACGCTTCCGAACAACGAGAGCTCATCAGCGCTGCAGTCAGCGTTTAAAAAGTCAAAACTTTCCAGTACTGTCTCCACCATTAAGCTTTCCATAGATGAGTGTTTGTGATGAAGTGGCTTTAGCTGTGATGGAATGGGAGGAAAGATGCTGTTATTTCTAGTTATCAAGCCATTCTGCATGAGTTCTTGGCAGTTTTTCCAGTCACTCTTAATAACAAATCAATTTGCTTTTCTGATTTCATTCCTGCCGCACCAGGAAAGTTACCTCCTGCTCCAGACTGATCCAAAAATAGTGTTCTAATTGGATTCAAAATGTGCTTCTGTATTTTGATCTGTCTGTATTCCTCTCTGGATTTCCCTGCCTGTTCAGGTAGATATAAGACCTGATTTCCTCTGCATCTTGTGCCACTTTCCTTTACTCCTTGTTTTAGATCTTGAAGTAACTATCTTAGGGGTCTGTTACATTCCAGTAGTAACCAAGAACTCTGATATCAATAATGGACTTCATGGGGCCAGTAACTTTCTTCCCCTTGGAAAGGCTGCTGTGAGAGCACTGGCTAACACCATTTATTATTCCAGACCTCAGAGGAAGCCTTACAGTGTCTGTATCCCACATACAGTGCTCCCAGGTTTGCAGAATAACCCACTGCTTGCAGAAAGCTCTTCTCCAAGACCTTTACTCCAAAGAAAGAATTGTTTTCAGCATCATACAACTTGTCAGACAGTCTGAGCTGCCTGCAAAACCTGGGGGACCCTGGAGAAATGTTTGGTTTGAACTGATGCAGTCATCTCCGGGTACACTAAATCTGAAAACATTAACAAAACTCAGAAGCAGACAAAATGCAGAGGCTGTGGCACACACTGTTCACACCCTGCTGAGCCCACGCTTGCTTCCACTTTGACTGCAGGCAACATCCTAATTTCTTTTTCACAGTTACTGACCTGCACACAGCACCCGAGGGCTGTCTCTTGAGAGGGACTGTGCAACATCCGGCTCCGCTGTAGTCAGCTCTCAGGGCTGTCTTTTCCGAGTAGTGCCTGACCTCTGGTGGCCAAACTTACTTTCTGGGAACACTGCTATTGCTACATCATTAACTCAAATCCACTGCAGTCATGGAACCTCTGCAGTTTTAAGACTACCAGTGGGAGCTACACCATCTACCAACAGTAAAACTCCAACATACCTTTAATTTATCCCTCAGGGATGAGACCTGGTATTCCAATTTCTCCAGCTGGGCTTGCACCACATCGTGTGATTTCAGCAAATTTAACACTTCTTGGAGAGTCTTATCAATTGACTTTGTATGTCCGTCTAGCTTTAGGTCATTTGCAGTAGTCAAGCTTTTCTGGCTGAAGTCTTCATGCTCTGTCAGACGGTGGGTTCTGGTCTGGTGGAAAGAATCTCCACCTTTGTGACGACTCCGAAAACTCGGTGGGTTACTTGGAAATCCATCCACACACGGCGTCTTCTTCAGGATATCCAGAGTTGTGTGATCTGGAAGAGGATGCTGCCGCTCTTCTGCACAGGTCTCTTGGATCATCACCAATGGCAACGTCCTGTGGTCTAGAGCTGGAGTTGCAGTTCTGGATTCCATCCCTTTCTGATCCTCAGAGCTGAACGAGTCTGCCTCACTTGTCTCTGCCGGGGTGCAAGGCTTGCTCCTCCTATGCACATCGAAATCACAGGCAGCCAAATAGCTCAGTATGCTGGGAGGCTGAGCATCACTTCCATCCGCTTGGCTCTGCCTTTGTTGCAAAACAGACTGCAGCAAACAAACAGATTCAACAGTGAGCATAGAGACAATTGAAAAGCATGAGATACCACCGAAGATAGAGAACTAAGAGAACTGTGGGTTCCTGTTCTTGGAAATGTACACACCCAACTGATCAAAACCACAGGGCTCTTCTGCACAAGGCAGCCAGGCGAGTGTAGATTGGACAAAAGAAGGCTTGATGGTTAGGTGAACATATCAGTGATGTTATTAGCACTTGAGATATATGGCAGATTTAAGAGGGTCATATAAAACAACCATTAAACCAAACCCCTCTTGAATGAATGAGTCAAGTCTTAGGTCTGTGCTTTGCATTCTGCTCTCCTCGGCATACTCACCAGGTAGTATTTCTCTCTGAAGCTGGGAGTATTTGGTGGGGTCCAGTTGTATAATGAGCTTTTCCTGCTACTCACAGAAAACTTGGCAGTGGTTCCAGGTGACAAGAACAGGTTCTCTGTGTCAAAGGGGCTGTAGAAAGAGACACAAAGACCCAAGTGTCAGTAAGTCCGGAAAGCACAGAAACATTTAGCAGCAGGAATAGCCGTTAGGATTGAACTGTGACATTTACTAAACACGGGGAATAAAAGGAAAGCAAAACTGCCTCTCTGACCAATACTTTTGATTGTACCAGAGAAAGAGGTAGGCAAAACGATTCTGTGTTTTACACGGAATTCTCAACACCCTTTAGACAGAGACATGTGCCACAGTCTTGGGAATAGGAGTCCAACAGGCCATAAATCTGAAGCACTCTCTGTCCCCCTGCCATGTCCTACACAGCGCTGGCAAGTACAGCATCAGCTGCTTGCCAGCAGCCACTGGACAAGCAGCGAGATATATACCACATCCGACATAGGCAGGAATTATAACACATGTAAGAAAGGAAAACTGCCATGAATTTCCCCCCTGCAGAGCACATAGCACCTGGAAAAGCTACTAAAAACCTCCACCTTCATTATCCTTCAAATATGAATAAACAACTCCTTTGGCTGGCAGAGGAAACCTGTGCGCTGGGATATGGCAAGTTGTGTGGTTCATACAGTCATGGACAAGTCCAGTTCCCAGAGGATAACCAGCTATGGTCTAGAAGAGCTTGACAAGTCCCACTCTAAAGACTTCCCACTTACCTACTACATCACAGCCATTAATTTCCCAACTCCTTTGCAAAGAGTCTAAGGAAACTTGGACAAACTGCCTCCCAAAATTCAACTCGGCTAACCAGGAGAAGGAGAGCATATTTTAAGTTACTTAAAGCAAGTTTGGGGGGGGGGGGGGGGGGGTATTACATGTCACTTTTGTTCCCCACCGATATGCCCTGTGGCATGAGGACTGAGTTTGGTTTTCCATTTAGGAAAACAAGTTAATGGTTTATAACAAATGTGTAATTTCACAGATATGAATGTAACGAGCAAAGAGTAAGATAAAGTCAGCTGCATTCAGCTGTACAGCACGGAACCACTACAAGTCTGAAAAGATCCAAACAATCACAAGGACTAATCAATTACATGGAGTGGAACTTCTGCTCTCCAGCAAAAGCTGAAAAACAGAGCTCCAGTTCTCTCCAGCTTCTCCTGTTGCACAGGGACAATTCTCAGCAGCATCCTGCAGTGTCTTCCTCAGCATGGAGGTATCGCTCTGTGAGCTCACCTAATGCAGGTTAATTGTCTACATGAATGCTGTCACCAAGCTGGGGTTCATCAAGCAGGCCGGTTCCATGGAGTTACATCAACCACCATCTGCATTGGCTCACCATGCAGAACATAAATCAGGTTTCTGACAGCGAGAGCCTTTTAGGCAAAGCCTCCTATGTTTACTGATGGAAGAAAATTATGAATCCCATCCATGCCATTTCTTAAGAAGAGTCACAGGGGTCCATTCCTCAGATTTTTCATCTTCAGCTTTTACTATAGCAATGCAAAATGACACTTTGGAGGAAAGGGGCAGGAATGACAAGCTAAATCTCTTTTGCCCTTTTGACAATTACTGAAACCCACTGGCAAAATACCACTATTGAGCTGCCTCCAGCCAAGCACACGCTCCCTGTTACTGCAAGATTACAAGGTGAGAGAGCAAAGCAATGGGTGAAGGAAAGAATGAAATCTGGTCTAAAGCATCTGTTCTCCCCTGGTTGTAAGCTCTTTGGGCATGATACATTGTCTTGTTCCACATTTGTGCAGCAAACAGAACACCATACTGGGGCAGAGCTGTGAATCCATCTCTCCCAGCACACTGACATTGACAGAAGCCAGTAGGGGATTTTCAGGGGAAAAGCACAGGAAATAAGTCAAATCTAGTAGGTTTTCCCCAGACACACACTCAAATCTGAGGCAATCCATAGTTCAGATCTGTCATGCAGCAGACTTCACAAGCAGACTATTGCCTTTAGCTGTCACCCGCTTTTCCTTAGTTTGTCTGGTCACTTCCTGAAATCATTGACACAAAAACCTCTGCAGAAGTCAAGTCTGCAAAAACTTCACTATTTATTTCACTTGAAATTGTGGGACAAGTACTTTGCCATGGGGGTCTTTTGTGGCTGTACTGAGAGAAACAGTGGCTAACCATTTACTTTCCACATTCCCCACAGTGAACATCGCTATGCCTGTACAGTGTTATCCATCAACACCTTTCCAACACTGAGAAATTCTATTAAAAAGTGAAAGTGGCCCCATGTCTGATCATCTTCGTTGCCCCAATTCTATTTCTGTATTGCCAAACATGCTGGCCTTTGGTTATGACTAATTACAATGTTGGCATTAAATGCATGACACTACAATGCCATCCAGGCAATCTGAAGTAGCACAAAACTTTCCCTTAGCTTACCCTAGCACTGTTGCAGGACTTTAGTGTTCAGGACCAAAACACACAGCCCCATCCTGACCCTGAAGGGGTTTACAACTCATTAGAGCTCCTGTTTCCTAGATTAAACCAACCATGACATCAGAAGCTTTGCATCCACACACATCTGAGGTACCTCAGACTTGCCAGTGCTGAGCATGGATTCCCAGCGAGATGCTGTTTTGTGACAACCGCCAAGGCTGTGGAGTGATTAAATACTTGAGACTTCTGTCAGTTCCCTGACCCTGCTGCATTTTTCCATTGGGTGATGTTCTCAGAATGTAAGTAATCAGACAGAGCATATCAGAGCTGAACCCAATTCAGTCCTCAGCCCCACAGGGCTTACCTTCCTTTCTCTCACTGCCAAGACTGTGTCCTAATCACTCCCCTTCTGTCCAGTCCCTCCATGTATTAAATACCACCGTCCAGAAGGACTCTGAATAGACCTCTCTGAATCCCACTATTAAGCCTGTGAATCCACATTTGCATTAAATCAAAGCACCACCAATTCTGGTCAACTGGACTGAACTCGCTGTTAATCATGAGATTTCTTTTTTCCTAGTGAACACCAGTGAAAATACCCACACAACTTAAACAGTGTGATTATTGTTAGGTTTCACCTACCCCTAATGCATAATAAGCACCAGCTTCAAGGTCAGTACAGCTGAACACAAGACTATGCTATGAAACATCACTCCCACCAGAAAGCACGTTTCCATCAGAAGCACAGATGTGGACTAATGGCTAAAGATACCTGCAGGAGTAACTACCCAGTCACGTAAGTTTTCATCTGTAAGAGCAAAACTGTCAGTAGATTTGTATCCAGAAAAAACAGACTTTCCTTTCTTATTCCCCCTTAAGGTTTTTTCCTCCACAAAGGCCTGTGAGCCAGGCCAGCACATGCTCAAAGCAGGCAGAAAGCACAAGAGTGGTTCTGGCTGGCTGGCACCCTTAGATCCCAGGACAGGGTGCTAACTGAAGTTCTGTAAAGAGAATACAGGCTTTCTCTTTGTCCTCCATATGAGACACAGAATTCAGACTGCTATTTAGGTTGGCAAAAAAACCAAAGTCTTCTGCCAAACTGGCCAAGAAAGCCATTCTGCAACAGGCCCAAGGTCATTCACGGCATAATCTATAAAGGAGCTGAAGGAACTTTTGTTAGAGCCCAGAAGACTAGTGGTCTATTTAAAGAAAATATACATTTAGAAGTGGAAGACTGATCCACACTTGGATTTCTCACAAAGCAGGTCTAGATTGAAAGCTTGCCTCTTGGGGAAGTTTGGGCATATCAGCTGGATTTGTTTAGTTATTCTTAAACCAAAGAAAAAAGCAGCTGTTGAGTGCTCTGCCTTTGAAAAATACAAACACCATGAGTTATCACCACACAACTTCTCCTCTCTGTAAGCAACTTCAGCAAACAGGCTGTCAAAGAGGAGCCTGCCAGTTCTGCACAGAGCTGCTCTGGAGAACCCACTTGGTAGGATACCAATGCATTTCACCAAACTTAAACACAGCAGAGACACAGAGTTCTTATACACTGAAACATTCCAAGTGGGGATTAACCCTAAAAGAAAACGTGTCACCACTAACCCTGTTCCCAGCTCTGCTGTTGACAGCTCTAAAGCTGAGTGATGGTTGTCCCAAATGCCACAGAATTGCCCATCTCACTGAGCAAAAGCTGTGCTCTAAGCTGTGAGCTACTCCAGCAACCAAGGGGCAACAGAATTGGAACTGTAGTTTTCTAAAAAATATACATTTAGTTACAAATAGAATTTGTTTTGGAGATTCAAGCCATTATCTGAGAAACTGCAATATCCCAGAATAGGAAGGGCTTTTTCCTCAAATAGTGCCTTCTGCAAGAACAATTTCTGTGCATAACTATTTATGCAAGATACTGACAGTGAGGAAAGTCAAACAGATTCAGCAAAAGCAGATGAAGTGAATTGATCTGTTAGATGCCATTTGTGTGGGTTAACAAGAAGAGAGTAAAAGCAATTCTTCCAGACTCTGAACACGTCATCTCTCAGTATAGCACTTCCCATATTAGGGCAAAACCAGATTTTAAACCCTGCTCAATAAAGGATTTCTTCTTCACTGCACAGGTGAAGCTTATGTTCGGCTTGAAATCAGGGAAAAAGGGACTTCCTTTACAAGAGTGCCTCTGCAAGGAGAGGGTTCCGTCTGCAGTCCTTTCTGCTCTGAAAAGGTGCATAGAGCTTTTGATCACTTCACATCTAGATTAAAGCCAAGACAAGCTTTGGTGGTGTGTGCTTGTTGAAGGGCGAATGATGACAAATAAAGGCATCAGACTTTGCTGGGGAAGTATGACAGCCTGTAAATCTTCTTATGCCCCTCTTCTCTCCTTCCTTCCCCAATCCTAAGACATACAAATGTCAAAACAACATAATACTTTAATTGGCTTTCACCTAAAAGGGCTGTCATTTTAAGAGCTACTTTTACTTAAAAAAATCCTAAACATAATGCAACTTGCACCATCCCCACTCCCCACGGTTTGCAATAACTCTGCCATGAATACCTCTGCTTTCAGATTCAAGGGGGAATACATGCATAACTTGGCATGAGTAAGAGGAAGTTTCATAGGGAATACAATGCAAGATCACAGCAAGCTTCTGGAATGAGGTTTTGTTACCCAACTAATTAGTGGCTCAGTTTCTCAAATAAGAAACAGAAGCCTCAAAAGTCTCAGAGCAGCTGCAGCACCTCACCAAAACATATACTGATGCCCAGTGTTAGATCTCAGGAGGAAAAGGTGCTGTAAACAATGGGTGCAGGCAAAACTTTGTTGTGCAAGTTTCTCATCAACTCAGAACCATGAGTATGTTTGAAAGTAATTTCCAGATGCTGCTGCCAAGACTCATTTTTCAGCCCAACTGCAAGTACAAATCAATAGTAAATTTCAAGAACCACAGCACGCACAAAAGACCTTCAAAAAACAGTCTGTTGATCAACAAAGCTTTTCTTCCCCCAACCCCAGAAATGCAACCTCAAAGCACCTGAACAGCAATTGCAACAGAAAAACTTGCGGCATTCTCATGGTGGTGGCTGTAAAAGACTGTGATAAGGGTTAAGTCAAACGATGCTTCCAAAGGTAATGAAAAACAAAAACAGGTATTAAAAACCAAGTCTGATTATAAAATAATTTGGTCATTACCCTGAGGGCAGGAAAACTTTTCTCTAACTGAAAGATCTCTTTGGGCATATTTGGCAGATCACACATTCAGCATACACAAGCTTTGTTATTTTTTGGCAATTCTTAAAAACCAAGAAAGACTCAACAGCTGTATAAGGCTGAGCCATGGATGCATCTGGCCTGCAAGGCACAGCTCCATGCCCTTGCTCATTTGAACACTGTTAGGTTTCTGCTTCTCCGGGATCTACAAGTCTAGATCCACAAGTCATCACAAAGTGGCCTTTTAAGACGGTCCTTATCACACAGGTGCGTGCAAATGTTTCTTTGCCATTTTGAATTGGGAAGAACTGAGGGCCGCATTAAGCCATGTACAAGTGTAGAGCGCCTGCTGTTTCACTGGGCACATCACTAAGATGGCCAAATTTAACCCAAACAAGAGTAAATGGAAAACAGGTTAAGAAGTTTTGACTTGTTGCAGACAAGACACACAGTGTGGACTGACAGTGCCATAAAGCAGAAATAACAGCACTACCTCAAAAATCCATGGTGGTGTGCAGAGACTGAGGAAGAAGTTCCAGTGCAGCGCCCACAAAAGTCAGAATTTGCTTTTAATAACATCAATAATCCACTACACAAATTGACTTACAGGTTCAAATTATAAAACAATTTAACAAATCACAGGGACCATGAAAATCCTCAGCTATTTTAAAAGTGCATTTGTAACCAAGCTTCCCTGCAGTGCACAAACAGACCTTATATTGATAACTGTAATAATCACAGTGCAAATATAAAGGTACTAAGTCTTTGGGAAAGCTTCATTTTTGACAAATTGTGGCCTGGTACTAGTGATTGTCCTAAAATTGCAAGTACATATTTTTTTCATTGTTCATAGAAGCTGCTATTTTCAGTATTATTTCATCATCTTTAAAATAACTGTTCATGTTTTATAGGTGTACATGCATTGCTTGGAGTTAGACTTGAATGCTCATTCTGAAGCTAAGTGGTAAGCTAAGTAAAAGCCTACTATCTATCAATTCACATGGCTAGCCATGGCTCTAGCAACATCAACACATAGAACTAAAGGGTGATAGACACAGCTTCTGTCCCTTTCCCCCTCCCCTTCACAAGGACTGGTGCCACAGATCAAGCACAGGAGGTGGGGTTGCTGTGAGGAAGCACAGGGCTGCTATATAGTGCACCTGCTCTGCAAATAGAAAGAGGACTATGATGTTGAATGCTACTAAGTGAGATACTTGGGAGCCTTTAATTTATTTCAACTGTTCAGCTCCAGCTTTATCTGAAGCTGTACTTACTTCCAGAGGACCTCCAGCTGTAGCTTGATGGTTCCCAGTTCAGTTATGTCCACAATGATTGCCTGAGGCTTGGTTGTAAAGAAGTTTATGCTGTCACACGTCACAACACCAACTAGAATAGTGGCCAGTCCTCGTAGCTCTGTCACCTGCAGGGACAAACACATCCATTTTCATCTTATCAGACAATCCTCAGTCACGTACATGGAAAGAAGAACACTTCAGGCTCAGATCTGCTCCGAGGCCCACAACAAACTTAAAACCTCAATACTCAGTTTTGGGCTCCTAAACTGTTGAGAGCCAATAGCCCCACAAGGAATATGTTGTAAATGGCTAGAAAGGAGGAGAGAAAAGCTGGGGAGAGAGCTGTGCAGCACATCTGACAAGAGAATTTGGTGGACTCTGATTTTAAGAAAAATTAAGTCTGAAGTTTGGAAATTCTAGCTGAGGTATACATACAGACAGTTGCTATTAGTACAGTCTAGCCTGTCTACACATTGTAACAACACTGTCAAAAAAATCTGTATTACAGAGAAGTATATTACCCTACCTACACTAGACTATGTCAGCTCAGTTGCCTAAAGGATCTGGAAGCACAACTGTCTGAAAGGTCACAGTGGATTCTAGTTGTCCTAAACTCAGCTGAGGACCAAAATCAGAACTGTGTCAGTTCTCTCCTCCAACTCTGCAGGTGGCTCCGAGTGTGTTGGCAATGCATTTGCAGACCTGCATTTTCCCCAGGCTGGCACTTTGCTTCTTCAGCTACTTAAAAAACCAAATGACAAATCCAGTCAAACACTTGCTTAGTTCCACATGCTTCCAGTGCAGATCAAATTGTTTCAGAAACACATAAATCACACTCAGCACAGAGTCTGAGAATAAACGACTGAAGTCCGCTTAGGAATTAGTTCCATGCCTGTATCTCCTTTAAGGTGGAGCAGAATTATGTTGCCAGGCTCCTCTTGGAACACTCTTTGGCACTTCTCAATTTTATTTTTTAATTTTAAGCCTGCTATGTATTTGTACTGGGCAAAGATGATTAAGTACAAAGTGGAAAGAGCAGGAGGGTGTGGAGAACATTAGTCAGCTTAAGAAAGTCTTTTCATAAGCTGACAAAAAGAATAAAGCTATCATTGTCACACAAAGTAATACAAGGCTTTACAGCTATTATGGGAAAATGGGGATCTGAATTAGCCTCTCACCTGATATTCATTGTGCAGTGGCAGCAAAAAAAATGCATTATAAGTACATTTCCAAAGGCTGTTAGGGCAAGATGCCAAAAAGTCTCTCCTATGTAACCCAGTTTTGCTGCCAGATTGGAGGGGAACATTGAAATAGCTGCTTTAACAGAGCTGCCAAAACTTTAAACGCTGCACTGGCACTGTTTCCTAGTAGAATAGGATCCAGCACAGCCTTCGATCACAGCTCCTTTTAGGTTGACAGGAGTCACGCTGCAGTGTCCAGCCCACAAGAGATGCCAGACTACAGTGGCAATGCTGTTTAAGGATTAACTCCACCTGCCAGGTAAGTACCAGAACCAATGCCAAAGGCAGCTGCACAAGGGTCTATGAAAATTACATACTTCCCTCAAGGGGTACTCATAATGTGTCACCTTCACATCACAGGCCACTAGCACTGGGCCCTTACTGTTAGGGATATGATTTTTCTAAGGCACTTTAGAGTTCTGATGCTTTTTTTTCCCCTAAATAAAGATACCAAGTACAGACTGTTTGTACCAGTGCATAAGTGCCGTTGGTTCTTTGCAGATACGGAGCATCTCTAGATTAAAATACAACAACAGAATCTGCATTGTCCCAGAGAAAGGGACATTTAAACTACAGAGTCAAACCATACACACATGCAATAATGTTTTCCATATACGCAATTCTCTTTCAATAGAGAACAGAACCCCAGGGAGTTAATATTCCACATGGGTCATAAATAATATCTACATACACATCTTTTTGTATCCACATCTAGACTTCACCTTAGAAAATCCCAGATATTGATCTAGGACATAAAAACAAAACAACCACACACAACAAACATACATAACCAACCACATATACCAGACTCCGCAACACAGGAAAGCAGATGCACCAATACAGTTACAAGTGCCAAGAAAAACAGAAGTAGATGTCTGTTCAGTAGGCAGAACATTGCTTAACTGCCATTGTTACCTGGCTAGGAAAAGCAAACTACTTCAGAGGTTTGACAAATATCTGGCAGCCTAACGGGTCAGTTATATGGTAGAAGACCTGTTAACCCACTGATTCCAATCCAACCATTATACACCACACCTTGATTTCAAGCTTCTCATGGAGATTTGGTATAAAGATCTTTTCTTCTTCATCCCATGTCTGGCTGTCATCAGTCTCAATCTTGCCTTTCAACCTCCATTTTTGGCGCCCCAGTCGCACAAACACCTAGAAACCAAAGAGAAAATTATGTTGGGTCAACATATTCCAGAATGTTCCCTTCAATCCACAGGCCTCACATTGTGCCAGTACTGCAGAAGTGAAGCCATTCCTTTGATCACTATACATTTAGGAACTTTCATAAAGCTAGAAAACTGGAGGCAGAAATTCAGATTGCAGGTTTTAACACTTGAACTCAGTACCAAATGACATGTCCCACCCATTCTAGAACAACTGCAAAGCTATGTTGCATAGTAAGTGTAGGGGTACTGAAATAGAATGCACACTGGAATTCATTTGGAACTGTTAGAAGTAGGAAAGCAACCGAGTAAGATCCTTGGATGCATTCAAATCATGCCAAGGGCAACCCAGTAAGATACTAGGACGCATTCAAATCATGCCAAAGGCAACCTTCCAAGAAACAGACAGCAACTGTTATTTGATTCCAGAGCAACTCTGAAGACAAAGACCTGACAGGTTGGCTTTGACAGACAATCACTGCAGTCTTTTAAACCCCCTAAGACTTGAATCATACCTTTCCCTCTTCAATCTCAGGGAGCAGAGTAACTAGTGACTGTGCTAAAGCACTTTTCTCATCAGAACAGTGCAGTTTTATCACAGTCCACTTCCTGCCTGCCTTACACATGTTGCACCTTTGCTCTCCTGTTCCTCCACTGCAAACTCACAGCAGTAAAATAAAGGACAAAATGAATTGCTGTATACTGCACCTCATACTGGTCCCCTGGGCAGAGACGTGCAAAGCCCACCAACCCTGAAAAGAGAAGGAAAATTCTAATACTTGTAGCATTTTACAATGTCCCCCAAAGCCTCAGCTTGCAATAAATAAAGCAACTACCTGGCTAACACCCCCTTGTGCTTAACTGTGCAGAAGCTACACCACTGGCCCAAACTACTCTTAGAAGGGCAAAAATTAATTGAGTTAAAGAAAGAAAGCTTGTCAGATTTTGTACTCAAGTATAGATACCATTGCAGACATGGTTTATGGCACCAAAGCAAACATTAATTTCCCAAAGTTCTATTAAGGGTCTGATCCAGAAAGCCAGTGGAAGCAACTGCCATTAAGTAAGTGTACTCTCAGTGGATCAGGTTGTTACATAGGAAACCCCAAATCAACTGATGATTCTTGAAAGAAACAAAAATGAACATACCTTTCATCTTCAAGTGAAACTCTCCCAAATGGACCTCCAATGCCCCTTCTATAAAGCACATGTCCTAGAAGGAGGAATGAACAGTCACTATGACTGAAATGCAGCACAAAGTTGCTACCTTCCCATAAAGGCTATTTTCTTTAATGACTTCTTTTCTTACTAGACACACAGTAAGATCTTCACTAGGGGAGGCTGATAAAGAGTCCATTCATGCTACTTTTAAGACAGAAAATTATGATGTTGCTCCACAGAAGAATGTAACTACTTCAGCAGTTCACTGCCAGTTACCTTCCACTACTTGTTTTGTAAAAATAGCATAGCTTATTCATTATTCATTTTTCATCCCATTACTTCTAGTAGAAGTCATAGTGGACCCCAGTATTAAAGCAGAAATTCAAAGGATTTTTCACTTGTCTTTGCCAATGCATGAGGCCAAGCTGAACTGGGGCAAAAAAAAAGAGAGGCACAGAATTCAAGAGCTTTCCTGTAAGGCATTTATTTACCTCACAAGCTTCAGTTCACATTACATACCTGCAATTCATTTATAGGTTAAGTTTTTAACCTGCATCATTAAAAAGAAAGCCAGCTTTAAGACCTAGTATGCTTTTTCTGGTCTTCATTATACATGTATAGTATTCCCTACCTCTGTGCACTCTTGGAAGTTCTTGTAAAGCTCCACTAGACTCTCTCTGGAGGCTTTGGTGGAAGGAGACAAGGAAAAGGCATGTTTCATATTCGCAGCCCCATCTCGTAGTCTGCACTGGATACAGTAAGCCTCATAGAGTTCCTCTACCTGTAAGATTTGGAGGGTAGGGGAAGAATGAACAAGAATTACCCTGGCAGATTTAGTAAGTTTTGGAAAGGAACATCAGCAGTCTTTCCTGGCAAAAAAAAAACACCAACAAAATCCCACTATCACAGCATTGCACAATGCTGCAGCTCCTGCGTTTTACAGACTGATAAGAGTGCTACAGTTTGTAGACATTCCTGCACAAAAGCATGGGATATTGAGAAACAATCAGCTCTGCTGCTATCAAGACTACAAGACAAGGAGTAGACTAACAATTCATTCAGGGAAAAAAATTGCTTGGACAGCAAGAAACCAATTCTGTCAATACAGATTAAAACACCTACAGCTATGTCAGGAAGGAGATTTCAATCCTTTGGAAGCAGAGGGCAGACAGCAGACATTGACTCCACAGGACTGCCCATTTGGCCCCTTGCGGGGAGGGAGGAGAACATGTAAGTCTCCTTGCAGCAGCATTTTCTGAATAAACTGACAGGGTATACAAACTGGTTTCACAGGCAAACACAGGTTGGGCTGTGCTCAACATTCAGCCTGAATCCAACCATTCAAGAAAATAAATAAATAAAACTCCCCTCCTCCTGTAAAAAGAGTGGTTACAGCTTTCAGGACGACCCAGCACTATGCCCCTTCAGGTGAATTAAAATATTTTCTGTTTAGACAGCTTGCTTATGTAGCAGTGCAAGATCTAAAACCCCCTTACCTTGCTTATGTGAAACTCCAGTTTTCTGATGTACCTCTCCACCAAGCGGATTTGCTTTTGAAGAAGGGAAAGAGAGGGTCTTGAGAAAGTATTTCTTAAACATGCCTTTAAGTAACACAGCAGACACATCATCCATTTTTCACTGTTTGCAACATTTCATCTCATCCTCAATAGTCTTACCTTATCCAGGTCATAGTAGAAAGCCTGAAAGGAAAATAGCAGAGGCTGAACAGAAGAGCACGTGTATTTTGTACATATTAATGATACTTTCATATTGACTTAGAGACTCACAAGGCTTATCTGAAGTTACACTAAATTAAGATGCATTATTTACTACAAGGAGACATGCCAACATTTTTAAAAGTAGTTTCATTTTCTGTGCATGGTTGGTTGGTTTCTCTTTGCAGATGCTTTAAATGAGACAGAGTCTTGCTACCATCTATAACAAGGACCTGGACATTGGTGATGGCACATGGGAGGTTTTGGGTTTTCCATTTTTTTTTTTTAAATCTAGTTATTATTTCCCAAAGGAAAGGCAAAGTTGGATGTGTGAGTTGTCTTTTCATTACCCCTGTTGCTGAAGGTACTTCCAGGTTGTTGTGAACACAACAGAATGAAGGACACATTCACCAGCTACTGAAAATCAAACCCAGTCTTTATCACCGTTTCTGTCCATCCAGAGTCAGTTCCTGAAGCCCCAGGTGTGAGAGAACATCTACTTTTGTGGCTTTATTTTTAAAGTATTTAAGTATTTAACCTTAAAAGCATCTTACCAATCTGGAGTTCCTTTTTGTATCTTTGTGTCGACCAGAAAGATAATCCAGTTCAGCCTGGTGTGCTTCCAAGTATTCACTGGAGAGGAATAAAACCCAGTGTTACATTCTTCTGGTGCATTCATTATAACATCTCCCCAAAGAATTTTTCAGCAGAAAGTTAAAGCAACATCCTTTGTTAGAAAACTTCTCTTGTTTTACTCTCTAGAGATATGAATGGCTATATAAAGGGATATGGCTCAACAGACAAGAAAGGGCATTTGTCTGTGGAAATCACCCTAAATGCAAAGTCACTCCTCAAGGAGCATCTGTACACAAGTGCCAGAAGTTGCTGGTTACTTGTTATCTGACATTTAAAGATGTTGTACATTAGGAATCCCCCTCAATATTTTTTACTCCTCCAAGATGTTGGATGCTACAGTGCAATTAAAGAAGGCCACCAACTCCATCTTACAAAGTCAAAGAACTGCAACAGGAAACACTTGAACTACAAAGCCAAGCTCACAGAAGTACTCCATATGTAAGGCAGGACATATTCAGTGTTTTAGCAAACAGCTGAATAGCACCTTTTAGTACATGAGAATTTCTTAATGTAACCATTACATTTTCCAGAATTAGAGCTATTTTGCAAGGTGTGAAGCAGCTGGTGCCAGTTGGCTTCTGGAGTTGCTTGCAAGCAAGGATTGTCCCTTAGGAGTTCACACAGGGACTTAACCTATTTCTGCTTAGACTATCTTCTTCCAACTCTGCTTTTAATACAGAGCACACTTAGGTAACTTTTTCCTCTTGTGCTTAAAAGAGAAAAAGAGTCACTTGGTAAATACTACATTATAAGACACAGTCTCTGAGCAGTCAAAATAACTTTGTTTTAGACAATTTCACTTCTTTACATCTGCTTTGATGCATTTACTTTTCTTACTGTTTAAAACCAGCTCCCCAAGACAGCCAGTGGCTCCAGCATTGAGTGGTCTGCTCTTTACACTTGCCTGTTAACGGCTCAGTGCAGAAGTAGCCAAGGCTGGTAGCAGAACAGAATTCACTTACCTTTTAGAAAAGCTTCCTCACTTTTAGATTTAAGTATGTTAGTATTGCCAGCTTGATTAAACGGTACCCAGATGGTTAACAGAAGAGTTATTTTCTATAGCTATAAAGCAACAGGCACATAAAACATGCTCTGTACTAAAAATTCAAATCACTCCAGCACCAAGTGGACTTAGTCTGCATCTACTTAAAATTTGGACTTTACATTGCTATTTGATACAGTTGTTTTCTGTAGGTTAGTCAATTAGCTAGCTCCTCAGTTTTGGCAGGAATCTGACCATGTGGCATTCACTGCAGAACTGGGAACAAATTCCGATTCACTTTATGGTTTCTCTTCCCTAAGCTCTGATAAACTCTAAACTCTGCAAAAACATTTGGTTTCACTATTTGATTTAAATCAAAATCCACTAATAAGACATTGACTGATATTTTTAGGGCTAAGACTTTATAGCCTTTTATCAGAACAAAAATGTGACACATCTAAGTTTATGATCTATTATTACACCACGTTTTATGTTCTTTGCTTAAGAAAACAAACTATGATAAGAATTAATATAGTAGCAAAATTTTGAGGACAGCAGTAACATACGTGAATTAGTAACATACTGTTAGTAGGATGCCAGCAGAAAGAGCTACTGTGTTTACAAATCCAAGGAGAGGTATTTTATATTCCCACAGGTACTTCAGGGTGTAAGTATTCCTACAATATTAGACCAGATCCATCAACATCAACTGTGAAGATGCAAAATGTGTATTTTGATATAAAAAGATCTGAGGACTCGGTTAAAGGTTGATGAGTTTCAACCACTGATGGAGGCAAACAGCACTTACCACACTTCCTGCCTGGTTTATAATAGCTGCCATATCAGCATTCCTATGAGGTAACTGACAGCTTCCCCAAAGCCAGAATACCCTAAATTCAGGCTGCCAGCCCATCCTTTGAACTCTACTGTGCCTGATGCATGCATCCCACTTCTGCCAGATGGGAGACAATGGACAAAATTGGTCTTTGGCCTTTTCACTGAAGTCTGTACTGATGCAACATTTGCTATGCATATAAACCGTAAAAAAAACAGTGCTACATTTAAAGCAAGATAATGTTATTTACATTGCCATAAGAAGATGGAGCTGTACTACAGCTCTGTTTCATCACCTCAAGTCACCTGAAGTTTTCAGGTGGATCTGCTTAGACCTTTCCCTTACAACAAGGCACACAGAGAGGAAAGAGTACTTCTGAACTCCAAAGCTGAAGTCTATTAAAACAAAACCAACCAACCAAACAAAAAACCCAACCCACAAGAATATCTAGCTCTAATTAGCACAGGGAGAATAGGAACAGTTTATGAACCAGCCTCCCACTGTGTCCTTGCAGGACACACCCTCACTTTCAGACTTGGTCTTAAGTCAGTTTCTTGAGTCAAAGCAACTCTACACAATTCCATTCCCAGAAGCATTCTGCCAATCACCCCCCAGATCTGGCTCTCCCATCCCTATCCAAGTCTCTCCTTGATCTGCAGACTTCCTGCCTGCCACCCTGCATGCTCTGAAAGCCTCCCTTCCTCAAGGGAGAACTCAGTTGCTCCCCAAGAGATGGGGAATCTCCCTACAGAGTTTGATCTGTCACTGCCTTTTCAGAGAACTGTTACAAGCTAGGAACAAACAAAAACATCACAGCATTTTGTCTGCAAGCAGACTGTCTGAGAATGAAAGAAACTTGTTATACAAGGTCTCAAGCCAGCGTCTGGGAAAGTCATTACATCTGTTTAGAGATGGAGACAGAACAGTGATATACAGACTTAAGCAGCACAACTGGGCGAGGCAAATTACAATATTTGAAAAGTCCTTACTTAAGTCCTTTCTTCAAAGCTTCAAAAATTTTCTTCACCTGCAGTGGCTTTGGATCCCAGATGACTGCCCCTTTCTGCAGGGAGTTATAAGCCTTGGGGGATTTCAGTGACATTCTTGATCTCACTGAACTTCTGCCGAGAGACTTTCTGTAGAAAGAGAGAAGAAATATGGGAAAGATGCAAACCCTATGACCTAGGAGAAAAGATGCCTAAGCCACAAGGCTTCCAGGCTACAAGTTGTATGTCCAATCCCATATACCTTTACTCAAAAAAGCAGAGAAAACTTTCACAGATAACATTAGAAAGTTAAGGCAGAAAAGTTAGTGCAGAAAAGCTGCAAGCTTTCTGTGGCTTCAATAATAATCATTTCACTATAAGAAACATCTCCTTCTCCAAGCTTGACGCAGACTCCAAGAAGCCTCCTGGTTCTCTCTTTTACCCTTTTTCAAATAAAGAAGGATCATGCATATCCCTATTTCTTCAGGAAGGAGGGGGGGAACACAGCAAGCAAGAGAAAAGATCATTTTTATAATGGCTAATAACAACTTCATGCTCATACTGATAGCAGTCATCTTAATGGACACACATGGAAGCTAGCTAAGGCCCTGTTTCTGTGTGCACATTCACACCAGTTGTTGGGTCAACTATGGAATTAGTCAAGTAAGCCACGCTGCAGGACAAAGACATTCCCATTCTGCACCTCTCAAGTGTAGAGACCTACAAGTCAGGAAAACAAGGCAACAAATTTTTGAACTCCTCAAGGCCTAAGTACAAAGTTAACATAAAAAGCCTTTAGAATTAGCTATTTCTTTGCCTGCATTCACCATCGATTTAAATGATGGCTTAGAGCCCTACCACATTTTAGCAAAGCAAACTACCAAGCCCAGATTGCACACAAGACATAATTATCCAGATTGCACACAAGATACAATTATCAAGGTGTTTTTTCAGTGTCTAACACCTCATTTCCTTTTAAAAGCAACTGCAAAACCAAAACTAAATATTGTTTCTAACAGAAGTCCCATGCACAGGATTTTCTGTACTAACCTAAAGAGTTAAAATACCCCCATTAGTTCTATACATCTACAATACTTAAAACACAAAATAAGTGCTCTGCAAATACTTCTTTCATATTGTCAGATTCCTGCCTGCCTAACCTCTATATATACACTTCTCTAAGTCTTAGCTATTTTTGTATAGTTTTGTTATTAATCTCTGTAAGTCAAGACCCTAAAACAACATTACCTAAAGAAGTTTCCCATTCTTCCAAGCCAAGCCAACTGGCTGCTCTTAGAGAAGCTTTCCACCTTCTCTACACTCTCCACCCTAAATCCAGCACACCTGAAGAAATGATGAACTTCAACAAGCTTAATACTTTGCCACTGGCTGGTTTAAGTTCTAAGCATGTGACTGGAGGCCTAAGGATATTGAGCTTGGTGATTAAATCCTAGGCCCACCACACCTGAGAGCAATCCCAGTCCAGTTACAGAAACCCTTGAGTAACTACTTTAATTACCCTGGTGCTACATTTCCACTTAACTCCATTTTTAACATATAATCCACCAAAAAATCTGATAAAATTAGGGGTTGCCAAACATTACTGGACATGTAATTTCTTCACCCTGGTGATTACCTTGGTTTTTATGATGGCTTAATGTAAAGCATTAATTAACCACACCATTTGGAGCTCAGGTTACCTATAATGAGGAACATAGCTGTTAACTTAGAAACCTACATTGTTTTCACTGAGCATTCCATGCAAAGCAAGAGGATTTCAACAGGAATAACACTGGAAGGGACAGTCTATCCAATAACAGCAGCTGAAAGAATCTCCTAGAAGGATCATTACTTAAGATTCTTTCATGCAAAGAAGGAAATAGCATCCAGTTCCACGCTCTAGAGGAGTGCACTATTTAGCAAGATATCATATGGAAGATACAAGATAATGCTATCTTTTGAAATTAAAAAGCCCAAATTACTCCTGTGTTTTGTCAGGTTTTGGGAAGGAAAGGACTTTGATATTTACCTTCACAGTTTTGGATAGCAAATCTTAAATTCAGGAAATCATTTCCTTCAGGTGAAAATACAGCATCTAAGCATGGATAGGTTGGGATTTAAAACTCACTGTTTTCCTCAGTATCTCCACTGACTGATGCAGCCCATACATACTCAGTGCACTGATGTTAAGAATCCCATTTTCATACATTTCCTAGAAAAGTGAAGTGGCTGACAAAGGCCTTTAGGGACAGTAGCTATAAGCTAGATGCTATGCTGCTGCTTTCCCTTGGGAACTTAATTTAAATATCAGATTTCACACTTTATAGATAACAGTAATAACATTTGCTTCCTGTAGAGACCATTGTAAAGAAAAATGAAATAGTGTGTCTGACAGAGAGCCTCAAAAGGAAATTGCTAAAGAAATACAAAAGTATATTTAGCGTCTGCTTAAGAATCATCTCCATGTGGACCTGATTTGTGTGTCATCTTTTGGACAGAGCTTGCATAGGGCCCCTGCAATCTCCTGCTGTGTTTTGCAACAGTGCCTGGAGGAGAGATAAGTTAGGAAAGGGTGATTAAAAAATTTCTTCACTATGCTGGGAAAGGCTTTTGGGTGTTCACTGGACTGTGACTGAGCATTCAGTAAACAAATTTTCCTTATTGTGGTGATTCCTGAACAAAACTGTCTGTCTAAGCACTTAAAATAATGAAAAGCAACATCATAAACCAAAATGCGTAGAGAGGCATTTTGCAGCTAAAAGCAACAGAATAGTCTTAAGGGACATATGAACTCTTCTGTTTGGAGCATTCTTACCCCACTGGACTGTGCCTTTGTTGAAGAAACAGCTGTTCAACAGTTTTCCTGGTAAATCCTTTCCCTGCTAGAACTCTCACTATGGACTTGAGCTCAAGTCTGTTTCTATAATTTAATGTCAGTGTTTTTCTCAAGCCCTTAGTGATTGGTGTGATTTAGCTGTCCAACCTTTGCTAGGTGTAGTATTATCTTTCAGCTTCCACAACAAATTAATTTAGTCAAATGTGAAGACTTTTTCTTGCTGGAATTGCATTTTTGCTCATGCATTACCATGCTATGTTTAGCTGAAAGCTTAATTCAGCCCTTTGGTTCTTTGAAAAGATATTTTATGACATGAGTCAGGTATTTTACTGGCACACAATAGGATTTTTTTGAGCACAATACTTCTAGAAGCATACTTTCCAATGCTTCTATATGATACTGCTAAATGATTCACTTTGTTATTATTCTAGCATGCATTGGCAGTCAGAGATTATATTCATTTTCCATTTATATGTCATATCTTTTAAAAGCACTTGACAGCCTATAGAGGGATCAGAAAAAGAACAAGAGCACTTCTAGTGGAAAAGCTGCAGTTATCTGCATAGAGCAGTGCTACACAACAAGTTATGATAAGCAAAAGGGAAGAACAGTGCAAGATGGTTTAGCAATTATGCAACTCAACTGAAGACTTAAAGACTGGACTGCAACCTTGGCTATACTATAGACCTGTTACTGATAGCAGTGAATTTGCAGTGGTCTTCTTGGCCTCTAGTATTGCTCCCTTCCTCTCTTTTGTGGCATTGCCAGAAAGCAGCCCTTCCTCTCACGTAATGCTGCTCTCCTTTAATAACTCCACGGGAACTTGAGTTGGGTTCAGTTACATATTTTGCCAGGACTCACCACTAACATCCCCACCTTTATAAAAGTCTATGACATTTTTAATTACCATAACTACCCCCAAGGTTTTAGTCAAAAAGCATCAGTTACAACTAGGCTGCTAGCAGGAAAGGTCATGTAAATGGACACTATTAATAGTCTGATACATAGATTCTGAAACCCAGCCATTTCTGGAGTACAGTGTGTGTAAGATAGTGAGGTGTGAAGTACAGCTATTTATCAGTGAACCATGACAACACTCAATAGTTTTAAGATAAAAATGAAGGAACAACTTCTACACATAGACACCCTAGGTTAAACAATACATTCACAGTCCCTAATGTCTGCTGCCCAGACGATCAGGTGCTTTACTTCTTGTGTTACTTACGCCAGTTTTCTGCTTTGCACAGTGCTGAAGCCAGTGAAGGAACAGCTCCTGCTGATACCACCCCCATCACCAGGGGACACAAATGTGAGTTTGACCGACATGCCGGCCGGTGAGTAACTGCGTCAGCTTCTGCAATAAACAGAAAAACAGATGAGAAAAAACCTTCTTGGCAGTCCTGGTTTGTGCTGCTGCAAGTGCTGAGCTGCATGGAAGTGGAAAGCCAAACCAACAGACAATAGATTAAATAGAAAAACAAGACCTGTCTGCTATACACGTTTCCTCTGTTGTCATCCACAATACAATTAATAAGGGACTGAATAGTCTAAAATGAAATCTCCTATGCCCTCTTCAATTTCTGATTGATTTTACAAACTCTCTATGTAAAGCCAGATTAGCCTCAATTCACAGGCTCTCTACATTTCTGTAATTGTCCCACTGCTTAAGGAGTTCAGGCCAACCACTGTATTTCCAAATCGTTATGTATGCCAGCACAATACTTAAGCTCCAGACTTAGTCAGGTCCAAAAAAGCAGTTCTTTGCATCTGTGCAGACCCACACTGAAGTCAATGGTAGAACTGGCTGAGCGTGGTACTTAAGCCCAAGGCAGAAGTCTAGTTTCAACAGTAAACTTCAGGTTCATACTCCTCCTCTGCCAGGATTGCTCTTGGATTGCTGTCCTCTGTTTTCCATCAGTCAAAATCTTTTGCTTTCTGGAGAATTGTGTTTTCTGCCATATGTCTATAGAATCCAAGTTACAATATAAGTAACAGACATATCCTTCAAGCAGCTGTAGAAAATCACCCAGACAGTTAATATACAGAAAAATTCCCTTCCTTCCCCCCTCAAGCTGGTGTAACGTAAACACCACAACTGAGTAAAACCAAGTAAAACAAAAAGCTGGAGTATCTATTTGTAGAGAGAAGCACAAACTCCAGTGAAGAGCTCTACATGATACACACAAAAATGTCCTGCATTACAGAACGTGCTCTGAAAAACAGTGAGCTCCTAATCTATCACAATAAATACCGGAAAGAAAACCCTGTGCCTGACAGTATCCCATCACTATGGCTACAATTAGTGAGACTAGAAGCCCAGAAATGTCAAAATGTTAAGATAAGACTCTTCTCCTGGCTCTGCCACTAACTTGGAGAGCAACCTAACTCAATGCTCTTCCAGACTGCATATAAAGAATTGTATGGTTCAATATACCTCCCAAGAGGGGTGAGATTTGAGAGTGTTTTGCTAATTCTGGGCTAGCCTACAAGTAGAGGGAATTACTGTAAGTGACTATGCTTTAGGTATCACTGTCTACCAAAGCAGTAACAGAAGTTGCACTGGATTTCCACAAGCAGCAATCTTGCAGTGAGACCTGCCTATTTCATTAGCTCCCTGGGCTGAGGCCTAACACTCCGTTGTTCTACAGGCTGTGCCAACCTATTAATCCATCTGTGAAATACAGTCAGAAGATTTAAGAGCAAGAGGTAATAATGACAAATCTGAGCCAGCTACCTGCTTTGCAAGCTACCTAGTTGTCAAAAGAGGTGTTGGGCATGGCTAGGCATTTTGTATCTCAGTCCCTCGAAATCTACATAACTCCATAGCTTCAGCAGTATCAATGGAAATCTGTTACATGGAAAAAATTAGATGCCTCTTAATCACCTTTTAATCAAACTGTACAGCACTTATGTTCTCTTGCTTCGAACGGATGCCTCCTCTACACCCTTAATCAGAGACTGTACTTGCATCATATCACAGCTGAAGTTTTGAAATATTTTCCATTCTTTCCTCTAGTTTTCCACTGCTTGTAAGCCCGTGAACAGTCACCCCATCAAAAGGATCACTAGACTGAAAAAAAATATGCAACTTACTGAAAAATGTAATTGCATAATAAGCAGCCAAAGGAAGAAATAAAGGGAATAGCCTCATGGTTATTGACCACATCCCTCATCATGGCTAAGTCAGATTCCCAAGATCTGTTCTTCAGCTCTCTAACCTGGGAAAGTTAGTTCATGGGTAAAAGAGGAAGGAAGTGCAGGAAAAGCTTTCCTGATTTCATAGGACTCCTAAAGCCTGCATAGCACAACACTGAAAGCATGTAGACAAGGAACACACAAAAAGAGGCAGACCCTTGAGAGGCTCAGAAAGTGGAAAATGATGAGGAGACTCCTGAGGTAAAACTCTGTGGTACAGAGCTCTAGATGTGAAACATTAGGTTGGAAACATACAGACCCCGCAAAACTCCATTGGTGAAAGAAAGAAATTGCTTAAATTGCCTAGACTTGATCCTGTTGCACACATCTTTATAAATCAAATAGAGCTCTCCAAGAAGATGTACTGTTGCAAATGAGAGATGAACTGGACCTCACTTGTCCATAGCCATAAGCATTTAAAAATTCTCATGGGATGTTTGTTGAACTGCACAATGCTCAGGCCTCAAGGCCACTGACCGGGTCACGTCCTCCTGTAGCTACTTCCAAAAGCAATTCATAAGCACATTTTCACGTTTCCTTCTTGTAAGAATGAAGAGAATTTAAATAATGTTAGGAAAGCACCATTAAAGGGGTTATCTTTCTTTCTTTGAAATAACAGCAACGGAGTCAAATACCACTTGTATGTATTTTTTGTAGCAACCTACAAATCTTACAGCTCACTTCACACTTCTGAGTAGAAGACCATAAGTAGGATGTCAAGACAACATTTTATTTGTAAGAAAGATTTATAAATGTGGTTGTTTAAACAGAGGGTTTTGCTAGCCAGAGTGTCTGTACAGAAGTGTTGAGCTATGTTACAACTGCTCCTGAGAAAAAGCATCTGGACACATCTCAAATTCAACTCTCCCTTTAGGCTAGAAATAAATCAGGTAAGGACCTCTGACAAAGCTGAGTTCAAATCTGTCTTCAAACCTGCAACCTCTGCTGTGCAGGGCAGTGTCTCCAAATCTCATAAACACAGGGATTATACCCTGGGGAGCAGAGGAACTTCCTCTCTTTTAATCTTCCCCAAAAGCACAGTGTGAATACAGTAGCTATCATGGCTGGCATTTGTAGAGCATAAAAATACCAGACCAAACTGGAGGAGTCTATTGCTGGGGCAAGAGAAACACTGAACTACTGATAAAAACAAAAGGAGTCTTGAAAAAGTCTTACAAAGCTTGTGAGTCTCAAGCAGATCTCCCAGCTACCACGTACTAATTGACTCAAACATTTTAATACAAAGGATTTTGTAAGACTGAGAATTCAGGTCTCAGAAATGTATTTCTAATACAAATCAAATGAGCATTTTCTTCAAATTAAAAGAGTATGTTTGTCCCTGTTTCAGTGATTTGCCATATTAAACTATTAGCATTTAACCTGCAGTGTTACCAAGTATCCAGGCACACAGAGCCAAACATTTGACCTTCTATGCAGCCATGAGCACGCTCAAACTGCATGGTCTGCTTTGTCTCTGTTGGTATTAGGATATTCCTCAAGCCAAAGGACCTTCATCCTCCACAAACAAAAAACTGGTGTCTGTTTGTGTTTATGGCTAAACTTTTCCAGCCCTAGTCACATATTTAATTGTTTCTGGGCACAATGGTTTCAGCAATTTTATGAGGAAAATATGACTCATTGACTTCTTGCAAAATATTTCTGCTTGTGTTTTGTATTTTGAATTAGTAGGCATGTTTTTCCTTTAGTACCTCCAAGAGGTTCACTTGAACTTGGTAAACTGTGGCTAGAGTAAGGTATTCACATTTGCTTCAAATGTATAATATTTCAATCACGAGTGACCAGTTGGTTAAGAGCCACACTCTTGTTCCTAGCTGTGTGCCTACAAAAACCGTACCAGATTTCTGATTCCTTCAGCTAAGCGTGGATGCACACATCGAGCTGATAACCCAGGTACAAGTGGCCACGTATCTCACTAGTGTCAGTACTCGCAGCAGCTGCAACATAATAAAAGCCAGTTTGAAACCACATAAATTGTTAGCCCCCATAGAAAATAAACACAGCGACTGTACAAACTATCAAATGTCAATCGCTTCAATGTCTCAGGATCCTGTTTGTAATTTGGGATATGTTATGTGATTATAATTTGTCCAACACCACCCGATGTTAACTTTCATCTTACTTTTTTAGACTATTGTTGTTAGTTTTATACATAATTTTATTTGTAAATATTACCTTAGCTCTACCCAGAAGGGCAACAGAGCCACTTTGTCTTCTACTTGTGGAAGCCGAGCAGAGTTGATTTAATTTTGTATTAACACCACATAATCCTTTCCTCAGTATCAGAGGTGCTCAACATTTTAACGGAGGGACTGCAGCCTTGATCCTAAAATATGTGGCTTATATTTGTGCCTGTACGGAGAATTCTCTGAGATAGTGGATTTTTGTATAGCATAGTATATAGATTTTATTGTAGGATCGCCACCTGGAATCTATGTCATTTTAGAGCATGGTTTTATAAAATTGCTCCATGACAGCCAAATTTGCTATTAATGTCTATTGGTTCTACACCATTTCTACTGAAACTCAATTTTTACTGTATCTACCCCAAGTCAGTAGTGATTAAGTAGATGAACGTTTAGGGACTTCAGAAACATTCTCTACTTCCTCTAGCAATGATCTGTGATTCCAACTTTTTATCTGCTGTTTCAAAAAACCCTGCAGTCAAATGTGCTAAGTTACTCATTCCACTTCCCTGCATTTATTATAAACTCATCACAACAACTGTTTTGCTGTTATAACTGCATCTGTATTGGGGTTTTAGCTGATACAAATATATACTGCAAACACAATAGGTGAAAAGACAACCCTAACGTAATTACACCAGAGAATTTCTAGCATAAGTCAAATTTAAGACTAACTTTGCAAACTGGACTACATTTGTCTACCATCATATTGATGTGATCACAATGTTTTTTTCCATCTCATTTATTTCAAAACTCAGGCACAATGGAATTAAGTAACCCTTCTGAATGCTTATGATGGGTGGGATCCATTTCAAAACACTTGCGGCAGACAATGGCATTTGAGTCTTTCATGACACTGATAAAGAAAAAGAAATCAGATTATCACAATGTATTACAATAATGTAAAACACTTTGGACAAAGTCTCAGGGCTGATCTGGGCCTGAATCACTGAAGCTTCTTGTGATTTCAATGTACCACGGAACAGTCTGGAAATCTCCAGACTTTGGCACTTAATTTGCAGTGTTGCATATCTAAAGAATCCAGACCACTACATTAATGAAACTCCTGAGATGTGATAACATCATAACTTAGCCCTAATACCTCTAAAGGCAGACGTAATGAAAGCTTACTGAACAAAGAATGAAGTGACCAGCTTGTGTACAGCACAGTGTTGAATCCACTGGGAAAATACACACTGCATTTAATCTTTGCTCTTGAGCATTCCTTAGAAAAACCATTGACCTCAGCAGCAATGTCTACGTTGCTAGATAAACATTCCAAATTTATGATTAAAACCCCTTAAATTTTAAGCATTTTTGTTCAATTGTTAGACAAACATGCTATTTATACACTCATTGGCAGAAGTAAGAAAAAATTCTCTGGTTATTCTTCTAGAGATGAAAAGTCATCTGAATTAGGGACACTGAAAGTGCCCTTGATGCTACACCTCAATACAGCTGTTCTAACACAGCTTTACATTCAAATACAGATCCTTTCTTCTGGTAAATCCTTTCTGTGGAGAGTATTCATAACACAAGGATTCACAGCAGAATCTGAAAAGGTTTTATGTAATTCGCTTTAACATTGGAATTCCAACCTGTGGGAACACAGAAAGGGGAAGAGCCACTGCAGTTACACTTCCATCTCACCCTACTCATCTTTCTCCCTGCTGATTCCTATAAATATAAATAAATAGGAATAAAACAATGTAGGCAGATGAACTTGTTCAGCTGCCTTTCTAGAAAAATACAATCCCTGCAGGAAACTATCTCCTACCCTACAGCTACCTACTGTTTAGCTATAGTGCTGTGAAGACCACCAGATACAGCTGTACAAAGCCATGAACAACCATTCTTCACTCACTGACACCAAACGTTTCTCATAGAATCATAGAATACCAGGTAGGAAGGGACCTCAGGTATCACCTGGTCCAATCTTTCTAGAAAAGCATGCCCTAAACTAGATGTCCCAGCATGACTAGATCTCCTGGAGGAATGGTTTCATGCCGTTTCCAGCATGGAATTATTTCTGCTGGTTTAAGACCAAGCAGGGTGAGAAATTACATAGCAATTCTGCTATAGTGGAAGATTTTGCTTCTCTACATATCTACACGTGTCCCATAGAACTTACTGGCCTAAACCTGTTTAACCTAGATTATTAGATGGGCCCTTTACTTTGTACCAAACTTAGATCTGAGGGGTTGTATTTTGAAAGTCTCAAATGATTCAGGAATATAATCCCATTCTCAGAAGTAATTTAGGCTCTTAGGAGGTAGTTAAATTGTTTTTTAGTAAGAATTACATTCATAGCTTACACTATTTAGAAAGATGGGGCTTCAGTGTGTAACTCCTTTTGGTACTTTTGCAGATTTTATCTAGGCTGATTCAACTCTTAAATATATATTTCAATACTGCATATCTGACATAGTTTCCTCCTAGCCACATTCAAGCTAGGTATGAATAAAAGAAAAATCAGATAAACAGCTTTGATCCAAGTTATTGCTTTAGTCATTAGGCCCCTCCTATAGCTTTATGGCACCTTCTGGAATGAAGTTCTGGAGTCCAGGTTTCCTATGCAGCAATAAATAAAAATATCATAAGCAGTCCCCTCAGATATCTTCCCCTGTGCTGGAGGTAGTGTCTCTG